GTTGAAAATACCGTGTTAAATCATATAATTCTGAAATGAATCTGACATATATTACTTAGCATTATCACTCCTTAATTCATGCACAGAAATATTGAATTGTGTCTTGACTTCAGCACAAAAAACACAAAAGTGAAAAAATACTTTATAACGATTCTTCATAAAATATATCCAAGTTATGCGAGAGAAATCATTCACAAAAGTAACGAAATACTTAAAACCTGTTTTAAACGAAACATGACAGGAGCCCTAAACATCATAATGAACTAACTTAAAAGCAGACTCAACTCGTTTATTGATCCTTGGACCTAACAGATTACGGTGATATTTTACAAACTGACATGATTCGCAATCCAGCGAAGGTACATCATGAAACTGAAGACATAACTTCTTCAACACAGATAGAGAAATGTGACCTAATTGACAATGTACTTCAAATCGAGAGATAACACTAGAGCAGGCAATCGACCGATACACCTAACTATCAAGAATATAGAGACCATCTGATATATTTCATTACCAATAATCTATTTCATCGTAAGATCTTGAATAACACAGTAATCAGGAAAAAATGTAATACAACAATTCAAATCTTTAGTCAACTTACAGAAATCAGATTGAATCCAAGTTTAAGTAGACTTAATACAGATGATAAAGTCATAGATGAAATTGGTTTTGTGGTGCTAGAATCCACAATGTTATAGGTCGACTCACCAGTAATGGTTACAGGAAAATGTATTTTGTGTGGTCGAAAATTAGAAAAAATATTAGTATTACCTGTCATATGATAAATAGCACCAGAATCAATTACTCATCTGTTCAATGAGGAGATAAAACATTTTTTCTCTAATTCAATAAAAGTAAAAAGTTTATTTAAAAATTCCTAATATTAAGTGAATTTAGCATATTCGTCAGCTGAAATCATAGTAGTTCTCTCGAAAGATGAACTAGCAGTAGCAGCAACAATATTATTTATTTGTGTCATCCGACTACGATTCTGCAATTTCTTACAGTACCGCTTTATATGCCCTCGTTCACAACAATAATAGGAGACAATGTTATCATTTTAATTCAAAAATTACAAAAATGTAACCAAAAATATTAAAACATAGCGGCCAGAGATACACAGAAAATACTACAAATAAACCAGAAATTCTGAAAAAACAGAGTACCTCTTATCACACAGAAACTAAAAGAACCACACTGCCACCACCGGAGACTAATCGTCGCCGCACGCACTGCCGTCGGAAAACGTCGAACAACCTCCCTTCAACTAAAAATCACCACAAAATCATAATACACACCTGAATCCGGAATGTAGCTCCCAAAATCGACCCAAATTGTGCTGGAGGACCAGAAAAGGCTTGTTGTAGCGCGATCTGCTCAGCCTTGGGTTTCCTCCGTTCTGGCCTTCTGGTTTCCTGCTCAAAATCGGCCAGCTGAGCTTCCCTTCACCTTCTGACTTTGCACGGGACATACACGACATCGTGGCTTCAAATCGCGGTGCAAACAGCCGAAAAACTCGACTCCGCAACTCCAAACGGTCCTCTTCTTCTGCGTACACCACCGTGTTGGCCGCACTCTAAACTGGCCGGAGATTGATAGTTGACTTCTTCCGGGGTAGGAATGGGTTGTTCAACCCTTCTTTGATATGATGTATTCCGATTCCTAAAACCCTAACCCTAACACTAGCTCTGATACCATAGTGTTAGAGAAGAAGAATACTACATATTTTCTTGTATTTCATTCCATAGATTTACGGCTATATATACATAGAAGATATATCTATTTATGCAAACATAAATTACCTTAATAATGATAGGAAATCAACTAATAATTACACAAAAATATTGTATAATATACTTTGTAATATTCTCACACCATAAAAATAGAAAAATGCTATGACTGTTGAAATGTAGGAATTGAAAAAGAACAGAACCTGGGAAGTGTTAGACCTAGCGAAAGGAAAAAGACCAGTGGGATACAAGTAGGTGTTCAATTAATACTGGCACAAGCAATTAGCTTAGATATTTTAATAATACTAGTATCAAGCACATATAAGCCTCTAGACTAAAATCCTCTACCAATCTCCTTCCTCATCATAAGATCCTAGAGAACACAACGGTTCATAAAAAATGAGACTAAACAATTAAAGGCTTTAGTAGTTTTACTATCAAAAAGTAGATTGAATTAAAATTTGGTAAAGATAACATAGATGATAATGAGAGAGCTGGTGTGAGAGTTGCAATTCCTGAACCCACAAGAGAGTTGATTGACCATCAGCTAGGGTAACACTTCAAAGATAACATAGATAAAATATTTGTATTATCAAATGGTCGGTGGCAGCAAAATCAATAACCCATTTGGAAGGATGACATAAGCCATGTACTGGACTTTTTTGAGATAAAAATGAGAAAATGTATTAAAAAAAGGCACCAAGGGGATGTCACCCGTATACAAGCCATGTACTGGACTTATTCTTAAGTAAGAATCGTAGGAGGATAAATTAGACCTTAGAGCTGCTTGGTAACAAGTAAAGCGAGCAAATTCATCAGCAGGATTCAAGTCCGAGCAGAGATGTAAAAGTGACATTAGCAGCAGGAGGTTTTGTCATGTAATTTCCATCATATACATTTTGTATGTCCAGGATCACCACAAAAAAAACTAGTACTTTTCTATTGCCACTCTTTCCAAATTCATTATCATGGCTAACTGGTCCACTTTTTTCACTATGATTTCCTCGATTAGTCTCACTCCTAGAGCCGTATCTCACAAAGGCACTAGGAAAATTAGCAGGTTGAGATCCATCTTAATGTCACACTCAAGAAGATGTGTCATAAAGAGAGGTGATTTCCTTGCTAGTATCAGACTCGGATGACAAGCCTACAACAAAACTGATAATACCCATTTGTTCTTGCTGATATTATTGTGATTTCACATCAATACTAAACGATAGCAAGACATTTAACTCCTAATAGACTCATTTAAGATTCATAAAATATTCAATAAAGACTTTTTTTCCCTATTTTTGTTGACGGTAAAATGCATTACGAACATGATATATGTGTCATAGATTGTTCTTTCCAGGATATAGAAAGGCTAAATAGTCTACAAGATCTTTAATAAACTTACAATGATTAACCAAATTACCTCATTGTAAATGGAATTCCGAAATTGCAGATAAAATCTTGCATATTTCTTAACCATGCCTTCTTTGCGACTTCATCAGACAGTGGATCATCAGTTAGATGATCATTCTTAGCAATTCTAAGAAGCTAAACTCTCACTGTTTTGATTCAGTGATTGAGTTTGTGTTCAGTGAGCTTTGTTGTCGTAGGGACAACACCAGAGATCACAGTTTTCATCTCTTTCTCTTCCACCATTGAATGAGAAAATTCTGCCTCTTAACTCGCAGAGAATTGGAGGCAGCAAAAATCTTTAACATTAATTCAGAGATGGGTCATCAGCTATGGACCAAGAAATTTAGCCAGAACACTAGGGCAGCCGTTACAGATAAAAAGCATAAAGTGCCAAAGAGAGGAAACCATAATGTTCTGATGCCAATGAAGAATTAGAGTAAGAGTATTCTTCTTATTTTTTCTGGTGCACAAAGTACATATAGATGTACATGAACAGACTGCCATAAGACTTCCCTAATCATAACCTAATTTGTTTTCTATGATTAAGCATAATATTTGCATTCTATAGTTATAATATTTGCCTAATACTGAAATACTATAGTTACAGAGCTTGCTTTATTTACAACAAAGACATAACGAAAGGAACTGAATAAAAACAGCAATATTGCCGTTCTTTCCTGTTAGATAATTATGCCCCAAGAAACTTGCATTAGACAGAGCTACATAAAAAATATAGTACCTGTTCACGTGCTTTGCGCGTAACCTCACTAGTTGAAAAGCTGGAATCACTTTGGCTATCTAACCTTGAATTAAGAACCCCCTTTTCTTTGGCTGGAGAAACAAATGGAGGCACAAAGAATTATTTAATGCAGACCCACGTTCTC